TCCTGAGCACCCTGTTCTCAAACACCCTGTGTCATTCCATTCATTTTAGAGACCAGCTTTCAGACCCATACAAAACTGAAGGCGAAATTATTTTTGAACATTTTGATCTTTGTGTTTTTAGATAAGAGGCAGGAAGACAAAAGATTCTGAACTGCTATTTAGCAAGGGTTTACTGAATTAAATATGCTCTTAAAATTTTGTCATGAATATTATTTCGAATTGTTAATGTAATTCCCCGATACTGAACATAGACTGAGGGTGTTTGAGAATAGGGCGTTGAGACTATTTGGACCGAAGAGGGATGAAGTGACGGGAGGTTGGAGAAAACAACATTATCAGAAGCTTCATAACTTGTACTCTTCTCCAAGTATAATTAGAATGATCAAGTCAAAGAGGATGAGGTAGGCAGGTCATGTAGCACGAATGGTGGAGACGAGGAATGCGTATAGGATATTGGTGGGAAAGCCAGAAGGGAGGAGACCACAGGAAAGACCATGGCGTAGGTGAGTGGACAATATTAGAATGGATCTTAGAGAGATAGGATGGGATGTTATGGATTGGATAGATCCGGCTCAGGATAGGGACCAGTGGATGGCTCTTATGAACACGGTAATAAACCTTCTGGTTCCATAAAATGCTGGGAAACTCTTTATTTACAGAGNACTGCAGAATTGGCAGCTCCTCCCGAAGGGCTGAGCTCCATGAGTAAGTAAGTATTTACAGGTCGTAACTACGAGTGACTGTAGCACTGTCACTAATGCACACACTCTGCAGTCCACTACAGCACACACTAATTCTTCTCAGCCTGCTGTATCTTCACCGGTCGTCGCCTGGTAACGGTTTTCAACACCGTAACTTCCTCAGCTTCCTTTCTCACGTACTTAGTGGTTGGCAACTCTCTCACAACCAACTCCCAGGCTGGCGGCAATCTCACACCAACCTCCTACTCTTCTGATTGCCGTCTCAAGACCCTCTTCTAATTACAGCTGGCCTTCGTTTTATAGCCTCGGCACGGACCGCACAGAGAAAATCGATTCCAAAAGCTACTGTATGCGCAGTCATCGGCTTGTACCACGCAGAAAACACCATTCATCTGTTGCTGTTTAAGGGCCGTTGCGTAGTAACGGTCGTTGGTAATTGTTTGTTTTGAGGTGGTTGCCTAACAAGTGTCCTACATGACACAATATGAAGACCACATTTATTTTGCAGTATATCCCTTGTGTAAAAGTATTAAAGTTACTGTTGGTGTTTAATGGGAAATGAAAGAGATTTTTTTCTTTTACATTGTCTCATTTTAGAAACTGTGTATCTTGTGAACATATTTAAACAACCTGCGGCTAATATGAAATATGTAGAAATTTTGTGCGTTTTATGAAAGAGATGTGTAAGGATGGATATTTTAATTCTTTTATAATTTTCTTTCTAACGTTTTGTTTAGAACGTAGCATTTGCGAGTTATTTAACCTTGAATATTTACATAAAAATGTGGCCATGGGAAACTTTTGCTCTATAACAGATGTTACTAATGTCTGATATGACGTATTCAACCAGTACTTTGATACATAACCTCTTTCTTTCGGACTTGTCATATTACTCGTCTCTGTAGTTCTGATATTCAAGCTGATCGAGTTTTCCTAACAACAGTATTCATCTGTTACTCGCTGCCTTCAGGCGGTCTGTGTGTGGCTTGACAGTAACCGTGTTACGTCATATCTTGACCATATAGCCGTTCCATTTCTCGCTGGAGTAGACATCTGATACAAAGTCAGTTTGGTACTTGTTATCGTCAATGGTGATAGGAATAGAATCAGACGAAAAGAGCCCTGAATCCTACTTTAGATTAGTCTGACATACAGAGAAGATGCGAGATTATTTGGAATGATAGTTCACCAGTAAGGCATAAAAATCATCCGTCTAAAAACTTGAAGGGAAGAGTTTTAATGACGAGACGCAGGCATAAATGGAAGGATGTTATTAACCCTTTGCACATAACGTATCGACTGGATCGTCTGGGGGTACTTGCGTTCAAACCGACAAATCCGAAGAGATCGACTACATTTAAATGACTCAGTATGGCACTTTTACCAATAGATGGCATGAAGTTTAACACGCTAATCTTTAGAGGAAAGGACTGTCTCTCAAATAACACACTGTTGTTAGACTGTCATTTGAAGAAAGTGTTATGGGGTTTTCTGTGTACTTGCATTTACTCCACAGCAGCCTTCAGCTGGTAGTTCTGTAGCAAGGATTGTTAGTGAAATGGTTAAAACGAATGTTCAGGATCTGGAGTGTGTAGGTATGTGCTGTTTTCATCCGGCTTAGGAAAAGGTAACGCTATACGACTCTTTATGTTCACAGTTTAGTATAAAAGGGAAACTTTCATGACCAGCTGAGCGACTGTTATCTTCTCAAGAAGGATCCTGCAGCATGGATACAGTGAATATATGTATAAATAATTTAACTGTCTTTGGGAGTACTCACGATAGGTCGAGGTTCCCGCAACAGAGGGTTGCTAAATGTAACACGACAGGCTGACATATTCGTGCTCCATGTTCCTAGTTATTAACACACAGGAACGTGTCTCATATGTAACTTCTGGTGTCAGTATGTGTAACTTCTATTGTCGTGCGAAATTCCGTTTGCACACCTTTGATATTACAACATGTTTACATTGTATAGCTATAAAACTATTTTAGTTAATTAATGTCTTGCATCAAACCTGAGTTAATGTTCTTATGCGTGAACGTAACACAGTATGTTTCCTTCAGAATTACTCGGTTCTCGGACTTTGTCCATCGTCCGGTAATCTAGAAATTAGAAAATACAACATTTCGGAGTCTGGGTCTGTTTCCGTCCTCAGATGAAGGGGGTGACACGTACTATGCTGGGTCCCTTAGAAAGGCCTAACCTCAACCACTGGACAACCCATGCAAGATTCACAACAGCTGAGACCAGGCTATGTCGAAGGGAGATAACAAGAAAATATAGAATACAAATTGTGATAAAACAAGTTGTAGTGAACCTGACATGGGTTGTCGAGTGATTGAGCTTAGCCCTTTTTAAGGGACTCAACAGAGTAGGTGTCTACCCCTTCATCTTAGGACGGAAACTTTCCGAAACACTGTGTTTTATAAGTTTTTAGAATACCGGACGATGGACCAAGTCTAAAAGCCAGTAATTGTGAGTGTTACACACCATCGTCAGAACTCTTTAAAATCTAATACGTTAACCATTCAGAGCGGACCACAGTTTTGTCATTCTTAACCGTTATCTCTCGTCGCTGGAGTTTGCCCTTGGAAAGTCCACGAAATTTCTAGGAAATTTGAACTGAATTTATTATATTAGCTGTTGGTCTAGGCTGATGGTGTTATTTTGTTAAATGAAAACATGACTACAACCAAGAAGCAGGCAAACTCTAAAAAGTCCAAGAAGCAGACGTACGCTGTTCCAATAACAAACGCGGTATAGAACGGAATATTATGAAGAGAGACAACCTTAGAAAATATGGAAAAGATTGTATATTTGGGAACTACAGTAACAAAACGGAAATATATTGTGATCAGATTTAAAAATAGAAACTATGTGGTAATTGTTTGCCTGTTACTAATAAAAGATGACATTTTCACATGTGATAAACTGCACATTTATTACAGGCTGATATTCTACAAGTGTCATACTGGATCCTTATTGCATTCTTTGCCAGGGGTGATGCCTTGCATTCTAATATAGGCGTGGTTACTGCAACATGAAATTTGTGCACCCTTATATGGGAGTGTTTATTGCAAAGTGGCATTCTTGTTCTCTATTAAAAGAGTTACCATTCCGAGATGATATTCCAGCTCTGTGTATCCTGAAGATTTTACAGTTATGATTATGACAGTCTCCACTACAGGTGCCATTGTAGCACTTTGTTAAAGACTGATTATTGCAGAATTATATTTTAGAAGTTTCGATGCATGAGTGATTTACTGCAAGCTGATATTCTAGCATTGTAATACAGCGCTGTCTAATTCAGTGTGGCATTCCTGCACATTTTACGACAGCCATTAATTCAGGGTAACATTGCAGCATTTGATGTATGGGTTCATATTGCATGCTTACATCTTGTACTCCTTTCCTTAGAGGAGCGACTATCGCAAGGTACAATTCAGTCATTGTTTTGTCCGGTGCTTACTGCAAAGTGACATTCAGGCCTTATGTTACAATGTTCGCNCCATTCCGAGATGATATTCCAGCTCTGTGTATCCTGAAGATTTTACAGTTATGATTATGACAGTCTCCACTACAGGTGCCATTGTAGCACTTTGTTAAAGACTGATTATTGCAGAATTATATTTTAGAAGTTTCGATGCATGAGTGATTTACTGCAAGCTGATATTCTAGCATTGTAATACAGCGCTGTCTAATTCAGTGTGGCATTCCTGCACATTTTACGACAGCCATTAATTCAGGGTAACATTGCAGCATTTGATGTATGGGTTCATATTGCATGCTTACATCTTGTACTCCTTTCCTTAGAGGAGCGACTATCGCAAGGTACAATTCAGTCATTGTTTTGTCCGGTGCTTGCCGCAAAGTGACATTCAGGCCTTATGTTACAATGTTCGCACTGCACGGTAATATGCAGGCATTGTGTCACAGGGTTCTTACTGCAAGGTAATATTCAGGCAGTGAATCACAGGGTGCTTACCGCAAGGTAATATTCAGGCATTGTATCACAGGGTGCTAACTGCAAGGTAATATTCAGGCATTGTATCACAGGGTGCTAACTGCAAGGTAATATTCAGGCAGTGAATCACAGGGTGCTAACTGCAAGGTTAATATTCAGGCAGTGAATCACAGGGTGCTAACTGCAAGGTAATATTCAGGCATTGTATCACAGGGTGCTAACTGCAAGGTAATATTCAGGCATTGTATCACAGGGTGCTTACTGCAAGGTAATATTCAGGCATTGTATCACAGGGTGCTTACTGCAAGGCGACATTCTGGTGCTGTTTCAGGGTGTCCTTCTGAGCCACAACCAGTCCGCGCGTATCATTCGCAGTAACCAGTCTCTCGTGCTGCAGAAGGTTACCCGGCAAAGTGCTGGCAATTACGTGTGCATTGCCACCAACCGAGAGGGCGAAACGGTCAGCAATGAACTCACCTTCAGGGTCAAATGTAAGTAATAACAGAACATGGCTTCCATACCCATTCGCCTGCATGTACTCTTATTTGCTGTCATGCGAGAGTGGATAATGGTGCATGGGCGGTGCAGAATGTAATGGTAGGAATCGCAGAGGAAACACCGAGTGAGAGTTTGCCTCGTTGAGAGTTCGGAATGTACATAAACTGACAGGTTACTGAAACTGCACCCCGGGTTAGCGACACGTAAAATGCATGCCACTGTTTCTATTACTTATCATTTTCACCCTTTTGCCATATACTACAACTACTACCACCACGACCAACCCCACTACCACTTCTACTGCCACTATTACCATCACTATGACTACCATCATCAGTACTGTAAGGGGTACGCGTGACGAAATGACGGGTTCTATTTGGGATGATTGTATTTATTAGCACTTGGTTATACACAATATTGGTTACAAATAATTTTCATTAATTATGTATTTTTTAACGAGAAGGCAATACCCTGTGCTCGATTAAATTGTTCTTCTGAAATTATTCAGCCACCCAGATTTTATAGCGTCACGTCCAATATATATATATATATTGAGAAGAATGTGTGTATAGATTTCAGTGACTGACTTTGACAAATATTGCCCTCAGTGTTCCCAAATTGCTTCCATTAATAACCGAAAATCAGCGTACGTGAGAGTGCCTCTGTGGGAATACCAAACAGCTGTCAGCTGGGTGGATTTAAGGCTGCTAGTGACGGCACTATACACAACAAATAACCATTGAAGGGTCATTTCAAGCTAAGACCTAAGCACCACTGATGGGTCGTAATTCGCTAAATACTTTTAACTTTCTGACTGACAGACTCACCAAATAAGAACACGAACCTCTGATTAACTTACTAATTAACTAGCGTCAACTGACAGTTCTGTCCGAATGACTAACTAACTAATTAACTGAATACGTAGGCATGTTACGAATATTATGTTGCTGCATCATGTCCATCGTCCTTAAAACAGGACTACGGATAATGTCCAGAAACATAATATTCGTACTAATGTACGATCGTCACAAACGTTTACACCGCAGGCTTATGTCTGTCGAGCTGTCCTGTAATATAAATCACGAAGCATCACTATGGNTAAACATCCATGCCCTGAGTGGGATTCGAACCCACGATCCCGGTTTCCAAGCGAGCGAAGACAGTAGATGCCTTAGACCGCTCGGCTACCGTGACCGGCACACACTCCGGATAGTACACATAAATAAAATCTTCTAATCACAAGTTAAGTCTTCACAGGTTGACTTCTAATTCTTCTGTACTCCTAGTTCCAATTCACTCTGAACTTACAGCTCACGGCTCTCGTTATATAACCGCGGTACGGACATGAGTCCTACAGTACACACATATCACGTGATCGCTATCCAGCCAGTTTGTTGACTCGTCGGTCGGATCCACAGAAAACATGCCACGTGATCACTATCCAGGGTTGTGACGTCACCGCGGACACGGAAAACACAGCTTCCTCTGTTGTCTCATGTTGGACCGTGTTTACAGAGCTGTTGCCTGGCAAAGCGATGATCAAATCCGTTATATATAACAGAGTTACTCGGCAATTTGCGAACTACTTCCGACTTCCACTCAAAACAAATCAAAATTTCAAAATATGGATCCATATTAAAGTAAGTCATTTCAAGAACTTAGATTGATATTCTTGTGACTCGCCTAATGATNTGACGCAAATTTTAGTTTGAATAATGTACCAACTCGAAGTCTATGTCCCAAATGGCCACAGATACACTAGTATCTGTTTTTGTTTTTGTTGTATAGATATCATTGTTATGTAGACGGCCCTATGTACGCTATTATTACGGTATTCCGACAGTGGACTGTCTTGCAAGGAAGGGGTCGTTGCCTATTTTCAGTTACAATCCCAGCATTTCACTGATAGGAGGCCAGTCGATAATTGAACCGGAGTGGAAGCAGTGTGTGATGACGTCAGGTAAGGCGGAGACGGGCCCTGGCATGCGTACCAAGCCTCTGGTAAACGGGGTGTGTTCTTTTCTTTTTATTTGCGGTTTGTTTGTTACATTGCGTTCAACTGAAGGGCAGGTAGAAAGTACCTGTAAATTACCTACAGATCTGGACAACAGACACATGTTTTGTATTTTTTTGGCCTGTTTGCCAGAACCACTGGAAACAAATTCCGTCCCATCTGACAGTAATTAACGCAGCCCATCTGCCGCTAACTCAATACTATCCCCAACAAGGGACATGAGGCTGGAATTGCGACTCGCTGAACCGGGGTAAAGTCGCTCCGTGAATTCACAACGACCTTGTCACAAACGGGCATGTGCACTGCTTTTCTCTCAGACAAGTGTAACTCTGTTTCATCCTCCAGTGTAGTCATGTGTGCTCTATATAAAATGGAACCCTGTGCCATATGCAAGCTTGCGCGTAAACTCAGTCATTTCTCAATTAACGTGGCAGATAAATATAAGATTATGATTTCTTACACAGGAAAAGAGCGATTTCTTGAATAGCTCTATCTTCTGAGACGCAATGCAAGTCAACAGACTTTTTTTATGAAAAATACCATCTCCATCTTCAGGTTGAAGAATCAACAAAGCAAGAAATAAACGTGAATCAGGCAACAACAGAGACGCTTAAACTCAGTTTACGTTTTATGGGACAATTTTATATGCAGGGTCACCTTTGTATACTAAGAAACCAAAAGGTTAATGAATGAAATAATGTGACCAATTTTGGGGGGCGGGAGACTGCCGTAAATTATATAATGCTGCTGTCTGTGGTACTGGACGATCATTTGGCCCATATGCAGGAGGTTAAGATTGGTTTCGGTCAGGAAAAGAGTAAATACATACAGAAATTTGATGGAGAAACGCATTGAGCGGCAACTTCTCAGAACACTGTGACTAAGTGATCAGATCTGTATTTTAATATCGTAGCTTTTCCCAATGCGGATCAAAGTGAACTTCCTCTACGCGCTTAACTAATTAAGCCACACGCTATGAAGACGTGGAGTGGAGGTATTGCTCCACTGTCAACCTCGGTACTAGATGGTGAGTGGTCAGCTTCACGCCCCGGCAACAGTACCCACAGGGAAAGATTCCCCGTTAACCGCTGGATAGGAGGTTAGATGGACCCCCGGTCTTGAGAAATAAATCTCTTGCCCATGCCGGGAATCGAACCCCGGCCGTCCAGCCCATATCCCCGTCATTTTGTCGACTGAGCTATCCTGTTATCAATCGTATAGAAGGCTATGTAGGCTCCAGAGACAGACAGGAAGCTGTGAAGAAGAGAAGAATCCCTTATGCATGTTGGGAATCGAACCCCGGATCATTGGTACTGCAGCCAGTATTCTAGTCATACCGAATGAGCTAGATACAGCGTTTGTTATGTTTCCGAGGTGCTAAAGAAAAACATACGGCTAATTGTCTCACTCGCCGGTCACGGTAGCTGAGCTGTCTAAGGCATGCACTGTCTTCGCTCGCTTGGAAACCGGGATCGTGGGTTCGATCTGTTTCCTGTGAGGTACGAACTGAATTCTTATATATTATTCTTATACACTGCCGGTCACGGTAGCCGAGCGGTCTA